CGGTGGTGGCACCTGGAGAACCGGCTGCTGCTACCGGGTCCGGGGGAAAGTGCTTCACGAGGGTTTCGGTTTTAAAGTACCAAAACATAAGCAATAAACTTTTTTCGGTGTTTTTCTTTTGGTTTTTGTGCRAGTSGGTTTGTTTYGTTGTGTTATTTTTGTTTGGTTTTGATATTGTTTTAAAATATGCTTTTGTTTAATTTCCAATTATTATTTTCTTAACTGGTTGCTTGATTATTGTACTCATATTGTATTTATATTTGTATTGTGTTATATTTATATTATATTTATTAAATTTGTTTATATTATATTGTTTATATTATATTGTTGATATTATATTTTATATTGTATTACTGTAGTACTATGTTATTTTAGTTTTAGTCTGTTGAACCTTTTACTCCATATTTGATAATTAAAACTTGTATGGCTAGGGCTGAATCACCGAGGCCATAGTAGACAAAGGCCCAGAGTGTGGAATATGGACCTTGGGACTAGAGTCAGGCCCAAAGTGATGTGGACAAGTGCTGGGGCTGGAACTGGATAAATCCCGTGGGAGGAGGGGATGGAGCTGCAGTTCAGGGGCTACAGGAAGTGCCTGTGGGGTTGCCAGCTCCTGCCCTGTGGTAGCGAGCACCAGCTGAGGGTGTGGGGGCTCCGAGGACTCCGGGGCCTGAGAAGCAGCCCAAGGCCCCTTTTTGGGATGGGGAAGCAGAGGCCCAGTGGCCATTCCCAGGCCCTGGTGCTGCCTGGGAAAGGGGAGGGGGCCTTTTAGGCAAGTGGTAGGGGTGAGAAGGTACATGTCGGAGTTTAGGCATCACGTGCCCCACAAGCTGGGATCCCACGGTGATAGATGTGATAGCTCTCTAGTAGAGACAATGAAGTGATGACAGTAACTAATTTGTGATTTCTCAACAGCCCCGGGCTGCAGGTAGAAGCAGGAGCAGCTTTTAGCTGGAGCAGTAGGAGCTGAGGAGCTGGAGCAGAGGCAGCAGAGCTGAAACAAATATGGTAGGCCTGGGTGTTGTAAACACATGTGCGGCTGGGACAGAGAATGTGCAGGTGTAGCTGGAGTGACTGTGGGACTCAAGGTTAAAACACTGGGGGCGGGATGGGCAGCGGAGGGCTGGATTGTGTGTGGAGCTTTTAAAGGCACTGTGAGATTGAACCTGAGAGGCCAGCAGTGCCTATTGACTGGTTCAGTGCTAGGCATTGCAAAGCTTAAGCTGAAATGGGTGTGAGCTTGTGATATAGAGGTTGCGGTTGTGATTGAGACTACAAATGGTACAGTAATTGTTGCCCTAAACAGGACAGTGGGATTGGTGTTCGAATCCCTGTAGAGCCGGGAGAGTTCCAATGGGGCTGAGTCAGAGACTGTGGGCTGGAGCTGACTTGTTGCCAAAGTGGAGCCAAGGGCGAGATCCTGCCCCTTGAAGCTGGAGCAGCCGGAGCTGGCCGTGCCGGAGTCACGAAGAGCTGGAG